TTCAAGATGAATTAAATAACTACAGGGTAATATTTATCTATGGGTTCAAAAATATTTTTAAGTTGGTATACGGATACAGAAACTTAAAATATAGAATATCACATGGTAAATTGTTAATAATAATGTAATCATATATGGGTAGGGGAATGTGAAGGACACAAAGAGTTGAAAGGGAAACATTTCCTTAAAATTCCATATACGTCTAGGTCAAGCATGGTGGCTCTCGCCTGTAATCCCAGCACTGTGGGAGGCCAAGACAAGAGGATCACTTGAGGCCAAGAGTTCAAGACAAACCTGGGCAACAGTGAGACCCCATCTTCAAAAAAAAAAAAAAAAAAATTAGCCTGGCATGGTGCAGAGTGTGCTTGTAGTCCCAGCTACTTGGGAGGCTGAGGCAGGAGGATCGTTTGAAGCCCTGGAGTTTGAGCTTTCAGGTTGCTACAATGATGTCACTGCACTCTAGCCTGGGCAACAGACTCTGACTCAAAAAAAAAAAAACAAAACACCAACAAAAAAACGAAAACCACATACATCTCTATTGCCCTACCCCAAGCAAACATGCATTTTTTGCCCTCTATTACTTTTATAACAGAACTTCTTAATGGCAATAAAATTTTCCAAAATATCAACTTAAGATGAGCTGTATCCTCTGAAATTTACTCTTATTTTAATTGGATTATAAAATATAATTATTTTAGTTGAGAAGAACACCATATAAGATGAGGGGAAAAAACCCTCAGTATTTTTCAGTATTTTCAACATATCACATAATGTAAACTCAGTATTAAAAAACCACACAAGTTATGTTTAATTTTAGGTGAAGTCAAATACAAATTACACTGTCATTTATCTTGAAGGATGTTCAAAAGTGTTAAACTAATTATAGATTACACAGTATTTGGGCCCCAAAAGTCTCTGTTAAATGTATGCCATCACAGAAGCCGCAAAAATAAATCTGACTGAAGTATTTTGGTGAAATGATTTTGAGAAACTGAGGAACTGAAAACTACTGTAAGATTAGATTTTACAAGTGTGATTACTCAACTTTGCTGTAATTTTATTCTCTTAGGTAGAAAGTTTATAATAATATGATCAATGAAAACTCCTGTCTTTTGAAAAGTAAAAAACTTATTCATAATCACACATTTTTCTAAAAGGTAAAGTTCCATTTCATGTCCAATTTTCCAAATTTAGATTATTAACAAATTTTCCATAATATTTCTTTATAAAAGCAGTTATCTTATTACATTAAGCTCCCTAAACAATTATGCAACGACAACAATCATTTTATGGCTCTTACCTGTAAGTTAACCAAGGTTCCAAATCGACTAAAATGTTCATTAAGTTTGCTGATATTATTTAATTCTGGAGGAACTTTTCTAAGTTCAAGTTTGGTATTTTCATTTCCAAACTGAACCTTTTTCTGGAAGCCTGGGCTGTTTGTTCTATTAAAATTTGGTCTGCAAATAAAATTAAAGTTTATCAATATATTTATAATTCCTGACACCTACCAACCACAAAAAAATAAAGTTTCACACATGCGAAATGGATGTCCAATTAAGTTCAATTTTTTCCCCAAAACTGAATGTACTGATAAAGGAATTTAAATTTTCTTCTAAACAACAAAGTTTCCAAATTAGTAGTGCTAGCATCTTTCACAAAAGCCAGCTCTCTGAGAAGAGTTTTGCCATATCCTTTGTTACTTTCCACTTCTGATCTGCTCCTATGTAACATTCTTAGCATGAAAGGCTCTACCACCCTCTTTTAGTCAATTGCATATATAACCTTTATTCCATTTCTATAAAAACTAGCTTACTGAAATGCATGCATCCTATTTTAAAATTTTGATTATATTTTATATTTGATTTTAAATTTTATTTTCTTTGATGACCATCTCAACCTCTTTTCAGCTTTAAAAAAAAAAAAAAAAAAAACTGTTAGAACTGTAGACCATACATTTGACACTTGAAAAAAGGACAAAACTATGGTCCAAAGAGATTACACTGTTTGCTTAAAAAAAAATCACAGAATTAATCGCAAAGCAAGAACTAGAAACTATCCATTATTAACCGACGTTAAAGCTCTAAAAATGCAATCCTAATCTCTCCTCACGTATACAAATTTATAAATGAATCATCAAACATCCCCCAACATTTTGATTCTTTACCGCTTTCTCTGAAGACTTTTCCTTGGTAACTCAATGCCTATCTAGCCTCCCCCAACCATTCCCCACCAAAGCCTTTTCTAGGTCTTACAGGAATTGTCCGCATGCTTTTAAAAAGTCTCTTGCCAGACCTAATCCACACCTCCTTTCCCTAATGATGGGACGATGGGGGGAGCCCATGACTATCCTGTATATAGCTTGTATTCACCAACATGTCAAGTTTTTTTTTTGGAGGAGGGAAAAGTAGAAAGAGGAAAAATATCCTCAACTACCACACTGTTTCTATAATAAAATAACTTTCTAATACCAGACAACTAACTTTCAAATTTTTAGAAAATAACTTACACTTTAGTTGGGGATTGCCTACAAAAGAGAATAATATAACAGTTTTGTGGAAAAAAATAATACTATATTGTCATAATAATACAGCAATGATCCCAAAAATCAAGGCACAATTAAATTCCTCAATTTTCCCTGCCAGCTTACTTATCAAACCAAGTCTTCTTTGCAGGAACTCCAGGCTCCCCTGAACCAATGGTTCTTTTCCTTGATTCTGAATCCACTACTATTCTCATACTGCTTTTATTAGGAGGCTTTTCTATTTAAAAAAAAAAGAAAATGAAAGAAAGCATAGGTTAATATTTTCTGTTTATCATAGCTACTTCCTTAAATTTATATTGAAAAGCTCTAGATTTTTATCCAAATAGGTATATTTTAGAAGAAACAGAAATAAATGTACAGTAGTCCCCTTATACATGGTTTTGCTTTTCACTGTTTCAATTACCCACAGTCAAATCACAATCCACAAACATTAAATGGAAAATTGCAAAAATAAACAATAAGTTTTAAACTGCATGCCATTCTGAGTAGCATGATGAAATCTTATGCCATTCTGCTCTGTCACTCCATTTCATCACGTAGGGATTTTAACATCTCACATCATCATGTGAAGAAGGGCGAGTACAGTGTAAAATACTTTGAGAGAGAAAGAAGGACTACATTCACATAAACTTTATTACAGTATATTGTTATAATTGTTCTATTTTATTATTAGATATCATTATTAATTTCTTTCTGTGCCTAATCTACAAATCAAACTTTATCACAGGTATATATGAATAGGAAAAAATATAGTACATACAGACATGGTACTTACTACTCGTTTCAGGCATCCACTAGGGGTCTTGGAATGAATCACTCACAGATAAAGGAGGACTAACATACATTCAAATATTATAATCTAAGATTTTTTAACATATTACATTATTTCATTCCTCACACCTAAATGTGAAGAATCAATAATTCTCACAAGCCAAATTAAAATGTGATTCTGCAGGCCACTCTTTGGGGAATAAAACTCACGTCACTATTCTCATCTGCCATCACCCTCACCACAAATAAATATACAAATAAATAACAAACAAATCATCTTGAGACTTTTAAGTTCATAGTTTTGAAATCAAAGGCACAATCTAAAAGATTAAAAATATAACACCAATCCAATGATCTTTGAGAACTGATAACTTAGAGCTGTGATTGAAGTGAGCTGTTTATTTAAACATCAACATATGAACGTACTTGATTTAAAAAGGAAAATATTCAAGACAAATGCAGTGTGCAAAAGAGCTGTCAATATCTGCTTTCAACATTTTACATTAACTTAGATGGCATTTTATGAATATAATACATTTAACCTGTTATTCTCAAATGACTCCAAAATTTAAAACATGCAAACCTTAATTTACCACATAGAAAAATATAATTTTAAAATTCCTTTTTTACAGATGAACAAATTGCTTGTATAAAATCCCATTCTTACATATTTCTAAACACATAACTAACAAAAACAACTTACAATCAGTTTCAGCACAATCTCTCTCACAGCTACAACTATGACCTCCACTCAAGAGTTCATAATCAATCTCTAGAACACACAAGGATTTGCTCTGAGGAACAGTTCTAAATCTAACTTCTTGGTTTTCACCGGCCATCTTCTTCTGGAAATCCTATAGGTATCTTAAAACTCAGTATACACAACATTCAATTATCTTCATAATAAATCTTTTTATCTTTCTGAAACATTTCTATTAATGAAACTATCATTCTCCCAATCACCTCAGCCAATCGTATTTGATTCATGGCTCTCTGCATATTCCATACATACAGAGACCCAAAATCAATGCCCCAGAGCCCTGCTGCTTTCCTCCATCTTCAACCTTTCCCACAACACTGGCACTTCCATTAACATTTAAATATTACAGCTCAAATCACTCCATTTATAAAAAAGAAAACTTCATGGACCTCAGACTTCCATATCCTATTTCCCACTGGACATTTCTACTCAAATGCCCCATGGCCACAACAAATTAAACACTTCCCAAACTATGCTTATCTTCCTACCAAATCTGTCTGTTCTACTTCTCAATGAATGGTATTATCATCTGCCCAATTATTCATGTGTCTAATTTCACTCTCTCCATTATCCCCATCTATGCCCCACAATTCAGTAAGTTAAAGTTTGGTTGATTCTTTCCACTAAACTTTAAATCTTTTCACTTCTGTTATTACCGTAGTCCAGCTACTAACACCTCTATTTTAGAATTCTTCAAATGCCTTTAATTGGCTTCTTACCTCCCTTCACAGTCCTTACTTCCCTCTGTTTTAGTCAAAAACTCCTTTTAGTTTCTCAAATGTATCAGAGAGTGCATGTGCTTTACCTACCCTCTTTCTTTGGCTGACTCCAAGTGATCCAACACCTCCAAAGCAGATAGGGTGGAAACAACCTGTATTGAGCATTGATAATGTTCACAGAGCAAACTGCAGTTTCTTTGCCTAGTGGTACCTTCACAGGACCAGTTCTGCAACAGGATTTTGGTCTTATTCCTGTCTCCCAAGCCTGGTTCACTGGGAGAAAAATCTCATCTGTGAGGTATACAATGTCTTTTTTTTTTTCTTTTATATGTTCTGTGCTCAGAAGTTCACTAAGAGAGGCAGTGATGTGCTTTTACCCCTAGCAAATGAAATGGGTTTGCTCCAACTCATCTGTATTCCCTCATTCAGATTTCCCTTTCGTTTGTATTTATTTTAAAAAGGGGTATTAAGAAACACAAAAGCACGTTCTTCTTGATACGTAATCAACAAATTTACCTAATAGTTAATATGTAATATGTTTTCCTCCAATATCCTTTTTTGTTTGTTTTTAAGCAGAAACTGTTTTTCTGCTTAAGATCATCATCACTGGTTTTCTTGAATGCAAATGGAAAACTACTTAACCCTTCCTCCTGCTTATATCCAACCATGTGAGCACCTATCAAGTTCTCCACCTTCTTAAAAATCTGGAAAGAACCATTATCAAGCCTCTAGGTCACTTTTATATTAATAAATCCAATGTATCAAAGGGCCTAACATTTTTTCCTGTGTTTAGTAAGTCCTCATGAAGATTTAAATATTAAGCATAAAAGTATTAAGTATCACATACATAATAATCTATGACAAATTTAAATTAAGGCCATCTACAAGGTATTAGAAATGTGTAATAATTACCAATATTATAAGCTTTTTATGTATCTGTCACAATCCAGGACTATAAATTTGAAACCCAAATAGGGAACAGATGAGAACATATTGGGGAGATGAGAGAGAGGACCGAAAAAAAGAAAAGGAAACAGAAGTACTATAGGCAATCCTCAATTTAAATGGGTTGCCTGCCCAGCCCAGTGGCTCACGCCTGTAATCCTAGCACTCTGGGAGGCCAAGGTGGGAGAATCACTTGACATCGGAGTTCAAGACCAGCATGAGCAAAACTGAGACCCCATCTCTACAAAAAAAAAAAAAATAGAAAAATTAGCTTGGCATGGTGGCACAAGCCTGTAGTCCCAGCTACTTGTGAGGCTGAGGCAGGAGAATGGCTTAAGCCCAGGAGTTTGAGGCTGCTGTGAGCTACTGCACTCTAGCAGGGCAACACAGTGGGACTGTGTCTCAAAAAAAAAAAAAAAAATGTAAATGAGTTGCTAAATCAGCTGTTTGGTATATAAAAACACTTATTAATGGAAAATATATTCTTAAGCCAGCTCACAAAAATAGTACATGCTATATCTAAAGAAGAGCACTAAAATAATCACTATGTACGATTATGATTCTATGAGAAAAGGCATTCAAATTTTTAAGTACAGAACTGAAATTACCATAACTCCAACTTCTATACTTCCAAGATTTATATGTAAGGGGTTTGATTCCTCCTTCTTCTCTAGATCACAATCAGAAATTGGCCCAGCATTGAAACGGGTCTAATAAACATTAGTTTATGGTGGCAGCCAAGGTAAGAAAGAGATGACTTGAATTGAGAGTTCCCAGTAAGAGCAATAAATATTGATTGGTATGATGAAAAGCAAATAAGTGCTAAATAGTGACCCAAAGAAGGAAAGAGGGTTCCTGTGAACTAGCTAGGTGGGAGAGAGCTTCAGGGGATGGGTCAACATCGCAAACAGCCCTAATCTTGAGGGACTACTTTTCAATTACAAGCAATCTGTAGTACATCCCTTACAAAGAAACTGTTAAAAAAAATCATTTTTCTGTTATTACTAATGATAGCTATTTAAATTCCTCAAGGAGAATTTAAAAGGTGGGGGAAGGGGGCATTCACATTAAATGCCCTATAATCTCACAAAGAACGTAAATTTGAATTAAAATATTCCTCACATCTCTACCACAAAAAGTTCTTCAAACATTCAAGGAAGATGTTCAGAATCTGATAGTTTCCCAGGAACAAATAAAAAAACCACAAAGTATAAATAATATAAATAATCGCAAGTTTACTGAACCACATCAGGCACTGTTGCTTATTTAAATAAATTGGACTTTTATTCACAACCGACGAGGCATGATTTTTTATTCTTATTAGGTAAAACAGCAAAAGAACACTGGAAAGAAAATCAGATTTAAAAGTTAACTGAGGTGGTTAAGAAAAAATATTTTTTTAGCCCAGGCAATATTTTCTATTATGTCTGACAATTCTTTTCTTCCCTATATCAAAAGTTATCTGTAGCAAATGCTACATATCTTTCAAATTAATGTGAGCTCTCTCCCTCCTCTGAACCTTGTTATTCGTTTATAACTCTATTATACCACTTTTGCTGTTTGAGCTTGCGACTGTTATCAGTCTAAACTTTTATTTTTTAGTTATTTTATCCAATACTCTGTCTCCTCTAAAAAAAATTTTAAAAGATAAGTCACTTCCTAACACGTAATTTCCTTTGTTTAAAAATATCATAAGCAGATCAATATTAAATTTCAACATGTCAAAAGTAACAAAGATGAAAGACATACCAAGCACTAGTTTGTACAATTTCGTTACCCAAGCTAGGAATAAATTTATCTTTAGGAATTAAAGCACTACTCTCAAGAGTTTAAATGAATCAATTAAGACTACAGATGATACAAAATACCACACGCACACACACACGCGTGCGCACGCACGCACGTGCAAAGCTACCTGAGAAAATATGTATTTTTGTGAAATTCCTTTCCCTCTTCAATACTAAAGTGTCATCCATACCACAACATCACAGATATGAAACCACACATTAACTTTGCTGTCATGGAAAATATAAAAGGATTCAGAGAATAAACAAAATCACACTTATTCAACCAAATAAATAAAAACAGGACCAACTGTTTTTCATAAATGTTTTGTCACTCTTGATATTATGAAAATGATAGGAAGAAAAGATTAATCATAGTACCTCTGGGTGGCAAATCCATATCCCCCGATGTTAGTCCTATCAAGTTAGGCCTTTGTGCATGCACTCTGTGTCTATACATAGGTCTGGAAGTGTTTGTTATGCTTGGGGCTTCCGGATTGTAGCCATCTGTGTCATATGTATCTGGTAATACAAAAACTGTAATTAAAAAACAATTATAAAACTCTATTTGGTAATTTTTAATATCGATAACAGAAAAAGTAAACTAACATTATCATTATATAACAAACATGTTTTATATGTATTAAGAAAACAGTTCTATAAAAAAAATTATAGAATATATAGTTTTTTGAAAAAAGCCTTAACTGAAGGCTTATTTAGTGTATATTAACCATGCCTACATTGTATTCTATATAATTTTAGTAAGAAAAATAGTACTGACAGAGCAATTCACTCCTTAGACATTTTTTAATTCCTTGTCCAAAAAACTGCTCTAAAACTATATGACATTATGAACACAGAAAGGGCCAAGACTGCACCTGCAGTAAAAAGAGAGGGTGGAGCAGGAGGAGGCTGGTGATGAATGCCAGTTGTTACTACAGTAGGAACAGAACTGGTTGCAGAGTTTGGAGGAGCATCCATGCCAGATGGCTGCAAAGGAGGAAGTGGAGGTGGTGGTCCTGTCAAAACCAAAGAATAAGAAATATCATCTGAAAGCAAACAAATAAAATAAGTTATTATACATCCAAACATCATATTCTCATTTATCAAACTATAATATCTACAAACACCAAGCTCTTACAACTAAATTAGTATTCTAGGGTAGAACATCCTTTCAGTGTATTCCAAAACGGGTTTGCCTTAAGCTGTAATGGACTGTGCTATACATAATTCACAAGGCCACTGCGAACCACAGTGACTGGTCTGGCATGGACTGCAAAGTGGAAGTATAACCAAATGGCAGTATATTGCTCTTAGTTTCTATCAGGCATCTAAGGGATTTCTCTAGATACTTCTAAGGTAAGCATCAAACTGTTAACTTTATAAAAAGAGTATGAATGGCTAGATAAAAAACACAGGCAAACAAACATATTTACTTACCTGTTACAGGTGGGAGACTGGGTGGCAATGGACCTGGAGGTGGCACTGGGGGTCTAAGATTTACAGGTGGGGGTGTAAGAATTGGTGGAGGTGGAGGAAGTCCAGGAGGTGGTGGTCCTTCAACAACAGGAGGCTGTGCTGGGAAAGGCAGCATACCAGGAAGATTCACATCTTCCACAACTACTGGGTCACTTCCATGATCAAAGGGACACATGTCTCCTCTCATACAAAAACCCTTTTCTATAACGAAAAAACCGTTAGAAATGTGAAAAGCATTGAAAATATAATTTTTTTCTAAGTTAACAAAAGAAAGATATTTAAAAATATAAATATTTTTTAATATTGGGCAAAAGTACAATTAACCATTTCCCAAGATCTACCTGCTTACTTCCAGTAACATAAATACTTAAGTGATTAGCTAACATACACACTAAAAAAAAAAAAAACACCCACAAACAACAAAAAACCACATTAAAATAAATATACCTAGCTAGCAGGATGATACAAAACTTATATATAATTTTTTCTATATCTTTGTCATTACAAACATTACTCTTAATGTAAATATCTCACTTAAAATAATATTGCAACTGTGGCTTTACTATTACTTACAAAACTTTTACAGTAAATCCTTGAGTCTTCAATTCTTTTATAAAATTCTAACATAGGTGATACTTACACTTCTAGGTCCTACTTATATTTCAATAATCATTCATTCTAAAGAAATGAGTTTTGTCAAGAATGTTTCACTAGCAGATTCACTAATAACTAAGCAGATATATACTCTTGTTTGCTAAACTCCAACAATACATTAAGACTTACTAAATACTATCTTTAATACTAAATACTATCTTTAGATAATAAATAATCGGTGATGACTAATGAAGGTTTCAATAATATTGAAGAATTTATGAAGTGAATGAGACTAATTTCCCACTATTTCCAATATTAGAGGTAGGTCTTTGAATAACTGTGTATAACCTAAACTTACAGAATTTAGGCACTGGAAACATTAATTCAATACTTCACGAAACAGTTGAAAGACTTACCATCATAGTCTCTACACCGTTTCTTTGGCATTGGTGGTCTTACATAAGAGTTATGGTCCACCTGGTCTTCATGAAATTCAGACCAACTTTCGGTAGTGTTATTACCATGATGAGTAGGAGCAATTACTGTAATAGTGCTGCTCAAAGTAGGTACAGGATAGTGGCCAGATGAAATATTAGTTACCGAAGAGACTGGAGTATAATTATTTTCTAATGGATCTGTTCTATCCAGGTCATATTTAGGTTTTACCAGATCCCTTTCTGCAACAAAAGATAAATGACTTAACAAAACTAAACTCTATAAAAAAACACCAGGTACCAGATCTTAGAAATAGTGACATATTGCTAAATATAAATTAAAGGTTTAAATTTTACATAACACCCCTTTTAAACACCCCTTTTAAAAACTACTCAATCAATACATAATGTTCCTAGATAAGCTATTTCTTTTCAATATAACCTAACTATAAAACCACATATAAAACTGTTGTATTTAATAAGTTTATCCTTGGAGTTTTATTTATAGAAAAAAGAAAATTTTTATTTTCTTCATTATAATATTAATATGCATAATGGCAGCCCACAAAACAAAACACAATAAAGTATGGTTATTTTCCCGTGATGAACATTTTGTTGTGATCCAGTGGGCTTCATCCCAGAGATGCAGGGATGGTTCAACATATGTAAATCTATAGATGTAATTCACCGCATAAAGAGAAGCAAAAACAAAGACTATATGATCCTCTCAATAGACGCACAAAAAGCATTTGACAAAATCCAGCACCCTTTTATGATAAGAACACTTAACAAAATAGGCATAGATGGGACTTACCTAAAAACGACAAAAGCCATATATAATAAACCCACAGCCAACATCATACTGAACGGGAAAAACTGAAAGCATTCCCTCTTAGAACTGGAGCCAGACAAGGTTGCGCTCTATCACCGCTTCTATTCAACATAGTGCTGGAAGTCCTAGCCAGAACAATCAGACAAGAGAAGCATACCAAGGGCTCCAAATGGGGGTGGAAGAGGTCAAACTATTATTGCTCTTTGCTGATCACATGATCTTATATCTAGAAAACCCCAAAGATTCTTCCATGAGACAACTGGAATTGATAAACAAATTCAGCAAAGTCTCAGGTTACAAAATCAATGTACACAAATCAACAGCATTCCAATATGCCAACAACAGTAAAATGAGAACCAAATCAAAGACTCAATACCCTTCACAATAGCAACAAAGAAAATAAAATCCCTAGGAATATATTTAACTAAGGAGGTAAAAGACCTCTACAGGGAGAACTACAAAACACTGAGGAAGGAAAAAATAGCAGAGGACTTAAACAGGTGGAAAACCGCTCATGGGTCAGCAGAATCAACATTGTTAAAATGTCTATACTACCCAAAGTGATCTACAGATTCAATGCAATCCCTATTAAAATACCAACAGCATTTTTCATAGATCCAGAAAAAATAATACTATGCTTTGTATGGAACCAGAGAAGACCCCATATAGCAAAAGCAATCTTAAGCAAAAAGAACAAATTGGAAGGCATCAATTTACCAGACTTCAAGCTATACTACAAAGCTATAGTAACTAAAACAGCATGGTACTGGCACAAGAACAGGGACATTGACCAATGGAACAGAACTAGGAACCCAGATATAAAACTATCCTCATATAGCCATCTAAACTTTCACAAAGCAGACAAAAATATACACTGGAGAAAAGAATCTTCATTCAATAAATGGTGCTGGGAAAATTGGATAGACACATGCAGGAAACAGGATCCACACCTCTCACCTCTCACCTCTCACCAAAATCAACTCATGGTAGATAACAGACTTAAACCTAAGGCATGAAACTACAAGAATTCTAAAAGAAAATTTTGGAAAAACTCTTAAAGACATTGGCCTAGGCAAAGAATTTAAGAGGAAAACCCCAAAGGCAATCACAGCAACAACAAAAATAAATAAATCAGATCAAATTAAAAAGCTTCTGCACAGCCAAGGAAACTGTCATGAGAGCAAACAGACAACCTACAGAATGGGAGAAAATATTCTCACGTCACGCATCTGATAAAGGGCCAATAACTAGAATCTATATAGAACTTAGGAAAATCAGCAAGAAAAAAATCAAACAACCCTATCAAGAAGTGGGCAAAGGACATGTACAGAAACTTTTCAAAAGAAGATAGACTAATGGCTAACAAACATACGAAAAAATACTCAACATCTCTAATCATCAGGGAAATGCAAATCAAAACCACAATGAGTTATCACTTATCTCCAGTGAGAATGGCCTTTACCAAAAAGTCCCAAAACAATAAATGTTGGCGTGGATGTAGAGGGATAGGAACACTCATACACTGCTGGTGGGACTGCAAACTACTACAATCTCTATGCAAAGTAATATGGAGATACCTCAAAGAGCTACAAGTAGAACCATTTGATCCAGCAATCCCATTACTGGGCATCTACCCAAAGGAACAAAAGACATTCTATAAAAAAGACATCTGCACTCGAATGTTTATAGCAGCACAATTCATAATTGCAAAGATGTGCAAACAACCCAAGTGCCCATCAATACATGAGTGGATTAATAAAATGTGGTATATGTATATCACGGAGTTCTACTCAGCCACAAAAAACAATGGTGATATAGCACCTCTTGTATTATCCTGGATAGCACTGGAGCCCATTCTTCTAAGTGAAGTATCACACAAAGCAAGCACCACATGTACTCATCATCAAACTGGTATTAACTGACCAACACTTACATGCACATATAGTAGTAACATTCACCAGGTGTCAGGCAGGTGGGAGGGGGGAGGAGGGAATGGGTATGTTCACACCTAATGGGTGCGGTGAGCCCCCTCTCGGGGATGGACATGCTTGAAGCTCTGACTCGGGTGGGGCAAAGGCAATAAATGTAACTTAAACATATGTACCCCTGTAATATACTAAAATAAAAAAAAAAAAGACCCTACTATGGCTTTTTACAGTAAACATTATTTATTGAGGTAAGAATGGATAAGCAAAGAGGAGGAAAAAGGACTTCATAATAAACATGAACAAAGAAACTAACTAGGCTGTATATGGTCCCAAGGAAAGAGAAAAGATATTAAGAAGATTAGTTAAGTGAAGCAATGTGCAAAGCGGCCTACTACACCTAGATCACAGTAGGGGAAAATACTCTAAAAAAAGAGTAACAGAATATAGGGCTCATGCAAAGTCCATAAATAGTATTAAAAGTAGCAAAAATCTAGGTTTGAGTAAAGGTGTTTTACTCAAAGGTGTTTTAGTTGTTTTACTGCAGTATCTTCAATAATACATAGAAGAATAATTATACATGTTGGAAATGACATGCTCTTACAAATATCTATACCTGAAAAAATTTTTTAACATTAATAGTTTTGAGGTATAACTGATATACAATAAACTGAACATATTTAAAGTGTACAATTTAATGAGTTTTGATTGATGTATACTCCTGTGAAACCAACACCACAATCAAAATGATGAACATACGCATCACCCCCAAAAATATCCTCATGTATCTTTCTAATCTGAAATCCGTGCCTCCTTTACTCCATCTCAGGCAACCATTGATTTGCTTTCTGTCATCAGATTAGTTTTTGCATCTTCTAAAATTTTATATACACATGTACTTTCATCCTGCTTCTCTCACTTAGCATAATTATTTTGAGATTCATAGATTTTATTGTATGTATCAATAGTTGTTTCCTTTTTATCCATCTTATGGTATGGATATACCACAATGTGTTTATCCATTCACCTACTGATGGACATCTGAAGTGTTTCTAGTTTTTGGCTATTACATATAAAGTTGCCATGAACATATGTGTACAAGTCCTTGTGTGGACATATGCCTTCATTTCTTTTAGGTAAATACAGAGAAGTGGAAATAGCTGGGGTCATTTACTAGGTGTAGGTTTAACATTTTAACATATGACCTAAGTGTTTTCCAAAGAGTTCCAGTTTATCTATCTTCTAACCAACACCAAATATAATCAGTCTTTTTCATTGTGGCCATCCTGTTGAATGTGCAGTGATAATTGTGATTTTAATTTGCATGGAATAAAATTTTGAAAATATAAAAGCATTCACTTGGACGACAGAACAGAACACAACACAATAGAAAAAAATAAAGACAACTTTGGCAAAATGTTAAATAATTTTTAAAAACCCTTAAATACGAACTTTCTTCACAATAAAAGAGTGATAACCAAAACAAACATATACATGTACTACTTACCCCTGCTTCGTGTTCTGCTTCTGCTTCTAGTCCTGCTTCTATCTCTATCCCGGTCACGAACCCTCTCTTTACTCCAACTTCGACTTCGACTCCTGCTGTAACTACGACTCCGCCCTCGTCTTCTATTGTATCGGTCTCTATAGGAATCTCTTCGAGGTGGGTTTCGATCATAATCTCTTTTGCGAGAACGATCATCTTTTTTCCTTTCATCACGACTTCTAACGAAATACATGATCACTTTTATGTAAATAATTTTAAGTGGATATAGGAAAAAATTCTAAGTGCAAAAGTTATTTAATTCTTGTATAAAAAAACTAAGTTTAAGGACCCTAAAACCCTTTTATGAGGAAAACTCTTAAAGTCTTAATCCTTAGTCTTATACACATTGGCATCTATACAATTAGACATTTGTATATAAAGACATCTATACTACACATATGTCTTATAGAACATACAGAACATACTGCCTTGTACATATAGTCTCATAGGTATGTATTACATGCACTATATTCTAAATGCTTTTGAAGCCTTAATGAAAAAAATAATTTAACCACACTACAGGGAATCTTCAAGCAAAAGAAGAGTCACACATTAAGATTACACTGGAATCTGAAGTTTGGAATAAAAATAGTGTTAACAACTAATATATGTCAAGTACTGGTCTAAATCTTACTCCCAAGACCTACAAATCTGACCTATAGTTTCTTGGTAGAAAAGCTGATAGTTGCACTTTCCTAGACCAATCAAAGAGTAGGTATTACTTGCCCCTATGTAAAAGATAATCAAAATCTAATCATTTATATAAAAGATAACTAAAGTCTAAACATTGAGTATATAGTTCAATGAACCACTCACCTATTTTCTCTGTATCGGGAGCTTGACTGGGAAGGACTGTGATTTAGCCTTCTAGAAAACTTCTTCTCTCGCTCTTCTTCTTTAGTGATCTGATATACAAAATGAAAATGTGTACAAGTTTAGCAACAGTTATTCCTTAACTGTAAACTGTCATCTTCTAAAAGTATTCAAACAAAATAAATTTCTCTGCTAAGTATAATCATTTAATTTAGCTATAAAAGACAGTCTGCTGAAAGTTAAAGTGAATGGTAAAGAAAGTCATAAATGCTTATCTTAGATAACAGGGGGGAGAAACCATTTTAAGCAAGCACCCTCATTTTAAAGTAAATAATGGAGAGCTGATTTTACTCCTTCTTTCAAAAATCTTACATTCGTATTTTTGGTTTCACGGATTTGGTCCAGCACCAAACACATCAAAGAATATAGGAGAATGCATTAGAACCAACCAAGCTACTAAAAGAAAAAATCTGGGAAACAATATATAAGGTGACAGTTCTCCAGTTTCTATGTATTCCTGTTTCCTATAAGGGGCCTCCATTCACATTATATAACTACTAGAAAGCAACCCTGGAAAACATTCCCTTGATCAGTGCTACCATCTCCAGATTATACTACTGAGAACATTGGTTCCACAGGGCATTAATAGATGTGATTGCAAAAAAAGGATTGGAGGTTAAACAGATTTAGGAATAGTGAACAAGTAGCGTCTATAAATAGATAGGGCTCAAGATTTTGCATTTTTAAAAAGAACCGTAAAATATTCTTATGAAGGTATTCTACAGATAAGGTACACATCTTTCAGTTTATGCCAGCCATTCTTAAATCCCTTTTAGTAAGAGCCTCTCACTGTCAAAAGTGTGTCCCATTGGAAAAGAAATTAAATGGAAACTCTTTAACAGACCAAACTAGGGTAAATATTCATTAAAGCCTTCTTTTTTAACAATTTGTCTTTTTTCTTCTTTTGTTCTCCTATTACCACCTACTCCAGTTCTCTTCCCAACCCAGACAAAAACTAGGTACTAATACAAACCCTCCTGATGCACTCTTTCCCTTCTATTTACCTCAATGTACTCTTGCAAGTAATTTATGTTGACATTTCACCATATCCCATAGTACTTGCCCATCTGGGAACTTTTAGTACACTCACAGCATTTTAAACTCAGACTGCCATCTGGCATTTTGACAATTCTGAAAGATCAGGGATAAATATCCTCCACAATTGGTCAAGATGATTGTGATAAAGTATTACTGCAGCGATACATATACGACTTAGTACGGCTTTGCCACTAACTTGCTTTGGGGGAAGACTGCTTCTAAAACCAACCACCCATGATTTACTCAAGATTTTTTGAGAATTAAAATATAATTAGCAAGAAAAATATGAAACCAAGCCAAAGTTATACCAGTGGGCAAAGCTTAAATAAATTATTGTATATCTCCACATGGCATAAGTGACTGCCAACACAACATCCACTGTCCCTTTCTTTCTTACTAACAGAACGCCTATACTGTTAGGTATGAAATATGCCCAATTATAAAATTGTATTTCTGGTCGTCCCCTGAAGATAAAACTGACTGGGATGCTGTGTGTGTGTGTGTGTGTGTGTGTGTGTGTGTGTGTGCGCGTGCGCGCGCTGAGCAAGTATGAAGTAGGCATGTATTAAAATATACACATATACGTGTGTGGAAATATATTGATACAGATATAAATATATTATACATTGGAGAATTATCACATATTATATATGTATATATTACTATGTATTAAACTGTATATAATCTAGGGAAAGGGCATAAAAGGAGGGGAAAAAAAAAGGTCACAACCACATCTCCCACCATACAACAATCTCTCAATGATGACACCAGCTACCATTTACTGAAAGCCTATCATAAGCCACACACTAGGCCAAGTGCTTTATATACATTATTTTACATATTCCTCATAACAACTCTACAGTATTTCCATTTCACAGCTGAGTAAACTGAGGCTCAGAAAAGTAATGTTTCCAAGGTCACAAAGCAGTGACTTGTAGAAAAATCTTAAGCAAGATTTGTTTGACTTAAAGTTAGACTGAACCCAGAAATGTAATAGTTTAATTGTTAATAATTATTTTCACTGAAATTACACTCTTAACATCAAACTGAGAAAATCTGAATTATCATACTATTAGATAATAATATAGATTATAAAATATAGATAAAAATTTCAAAACCTCTTGAGGTATAAAATCATTTCCATTGCCCTGTGAAGGTCCTTGTGTTTGCAAATTGGACAGAAGCAGTGATCTACTATTGTCAATCTAATTACTTTCATAGAACACAGATAATGAGATTCCATGTCTATGAGATACTGTGCAGGAAGAGTTAAAAGCAGACCCAAGACAGTTATGCTGAGAAAGCCCTGCTTATAAAACTGACCCTTGGCTGGGTCCAGGGAACCCCGATTTCTGGAGGAGTCCCTCTATTCTCTGACATTCACTGTATGAGAATCATTTGTGAAAACAACATGGTTTATGCTTTCCTCCCAGGAGCATGGAATTTTGTTGTATAGTAGGTGGAGGGTGGCTACGTGACCAGTACCAAATAAAAACCCTGGACAGTCTCTAATGAGCTTCCCCAATTCACACATGTTGTAACAACTCATTGCCAGGGGAATTAGGTGCATCCTGTGTGACTCTGAGGACTTTGGGAGCTTGTGTCTTCCACTGGATTTCACATCTTACACCTTTTCCACTGGATTTCACCTCATATACCTTTTTCCACTTGCTGACTTTGCCTTGTATCCTTTTGCTGTAATAAGTCATAGCCCTGAGTATAATGATATGCTGAGTCCTATGATTTCCTCATAACCTGGGAGCGGTGTTAAGGACTCCCAAAACACAGATACGGAAGACAAAACTCAATTTAATTATTCCTTTTATTTGTTTAAATAGCCTTTAAGGTATAATACAAATCTTTACCTCTTCTTTCTTTATATCTTTTTCTTGGTGCTGAAAAAATTCTACCTTCAGGCTTCCTGATGATGGCTGCTCTGGAGGAGGTAGATAACTCTTTGTATTCACAGCATCAAAAAGTTTTTCCACAAATATCTGAGTCTCTAAAAATAAAACCAAAAACCACAGATTGAAAGACATTTGCTAAGATATTAATTCACCACTTCTACACATCAGAACTCTAATATGATGAAATATACCTTGACTATTATAAATTTAGAAATTATACCAAGGTGTAAGTCCTGGGGTAATACTGACTCATTCAATTTTCAGGGCAGTAAAAACTGGAATGGTTAGAACTTCTAGGCCAATCACTTCCAGCCATGAGTATTCTCCATGTAGCCCACCCACTGTGCCAAACACAAATATTATCATTACCTAGATATGGGTGAAGTACAAAAAGCTGACAAGCAATGTGCTAGACAAGATTCAAAGCAGTTTCCAAAGCAGTACTATCTTTAAATAAATAAGTATTCAGTCCTTTTCTTAATCTTTTAACCTGTGTAATAAAAAATATCAACATAGGCCAGGCGCGGTGGCTCATGCCTGTAATCCTAGCACTCTGGGAGGCCGAGGCGGAAGGATTGTTTGAGCTCAGGAGTTCGAAACCAGCCTGAGCAAGAGCGAGACCCTGTCTCTACTAAAAATAGAAAGAAATTAATCGAACAACTAAAAATACATAAAAAAAAATTAGCCGGGCATGGTGGCGCATGCCTGTAGTCCCAGCTACTCGGGAGGCTGAGGCAGAAGGATCGCTTGAGCCCAGGAGTTTGAGGTTGCTGTGAGCTAGGCTGATGCCACGGCACTGACTCTAGCCCGGGAAAAAGAGTGAGACTGTGTCTCAAAAAAAAAAAAAAAAAAAAATCAGCATAAATATGCTTCAAGAATAAGCGTGAGGATGTTAATGATGAGAGGTTTTAAATAAGCTAGGGATATAACCAGCAATAACAGTATTTGTTCAACTTTGTTACAATTGGAGCCTGTCTCTTACTGAGCTCTTTTAATACTCTGTGAATAACCTTATTTAAAATAACTTAAAGTAGTATTTTAAAACCAAAGATCTTACCTTTCTGAAGAAATACATCCAGCTGATCAATACATAATGCCTTTAACTCTTTTTCACTTTTGTCTTTCTTTACCAAAGCCAGAACATATTTTGCTAGAGCTGATGGATCTGCATCACAGCTAAAGAAAAAAGCAATGTTGAAGGAAATTTAGCCATAAACAGCTGCACATTCTACAAATTCCAGTTACGAATTGACTTAGTAGGTATGATAAATAGTTAATTGAGTTAATATATATAAAAAGTACCTGGCTCATGGAGGGTACTGAAGAAATCTAAGTTCTTCTCTTTATATTAATGTACCTCACATGCTTTATGTAGCTTTATTATTTAAAAGCATACCACATGGTATATTAATTAAACAGCAGAAAAGACAGTCTAAAAATACACCCAAATATATTAGGAATTTAGGTTTTATAAAGGTGGCATCCAAATCAACAAAGAAGAGATGAATTATGCAATAAATAGTATTGAAACAATTTGGCAGTTACCTTTTTAAAAACTAACTTGGATTCACAATTTATTCCATACACTATAATAAATATAAAACAAGAAACCATTATAGTATTAGAGGAAAACATGGATTATTTTATAACCCTGGAGGATTAATGAAGATGCAAAATCCATATCACAAGAGTAATCTGATTATATAAAAAAATCAAAAACTTCAGAATGAAAAGAGTCAACAAATGAGAAAAAAGCTCAAATAGTTTAACTCATCACAAAAAGGCAAATTCCTCTAACATGCAGAGTTTCTGTTGATCAAGACCAACACCATAAGTATGAGAAAAAAATACAAAGACTATGAACAGATACTAAAAAGAAATAAAAGTGACTCTTAAATATGAGTAAAAATTCAACCTCATCCATAAGAGAAATGCAAGCTTAAGTTACAATGAAATTATCATTTTTTTAGTCATCAAGTTGGCAAAATCCAAAAATATGGAAATATATTCTGGTGGCAAGACTAAGGAAACAAGCAATTTTGATACTTTGAGCTGGTGTGTGTAAACCAATAGCCCATTGTAAGAATATACTGGCAGTACCAAGGTCACAAATGCAATCTGATTCAGCAATTCTGTTTTTATGAATCTCGTCTACAGATATACTTACGTGTTCAAAATGACATGTGTAGAAGTTATCCACTGTTATATTAATTGTAAAAACAAAAATGTGTAAAAGTCCAGTTATAGAGGACTGGAAAAATAAATTATATTAAATCCACACGAAGGAATAACATATATGCAGTAAAAGGACACAAGAGTAATGAAGTTTTCACTTCTTACTGAAATCTTCATTATCAAATTTTTTAAACTTAAAAAAGTAGAGAAAAGGTTTGTATAGCATGTTACCCTTTGTGTTGGGGGAAAGGGAGAAATTATATATTTGGATTGGTTTATGTCTGAAATACGCACAAGGACGGATAAACAACTAATATCTATTGTTACTTGTATGGGGGGATGATAGTGAAAACTAAGTGAAGGAAGGACAGGGCAAAGAGGGAAAGTTTTTTTTTGGTAAAAATTGACACATAATTGTACATATTTATGAGGTACAATGTGATAAGTCAATAACAGTACACAATGTATGATGATCAAATCAGGGTAATTAGCATATCCATCACCTCAAACATTTATCATTTCTTTCTGTTAGGAATATTCAAAATCCTCTCTTCTAGTCACTTGAAAATACAGAATAAATTAACTATAGCCACCCCACAATGCTAAGGAACACTAGAACTTATTCTTCCTATCTAGCTGTAATTTTGTATTTGTTAGCCAACCTCTCCTGATCCCCAAACCCCCTACCTTCCCTGGCCTTTAGTAACTACTATCCTATTATACTCACTACTTTTATGAGATCAACTTATTTAGCTTCCAAGTAAGAGAACATGCAATATTTATCTTTCTGTGCCTGGCTTACTTCACTTAATATAATGTCATCAAGGAAAGTTGTTGTTTGCTTGTTTTATACAGATGGGGACTCGCTATATTACCCAAGATGGTCTTGATCTCCTGGCCTCAGGTGATCCTCTTGCCTACATTTTATTTCATAGCTTGGCAGCATAAAAATAATGGCTTAATTTCACACCAATAACGTAAGGATCAATGTAACAGATTTTCCAAGCATACAGACGACAAAAGCTTTTTAAAAAAAAGCAGCTTAACAGCTTTAAAAAAAAGTTTAGGGAATTTCAGTAGGGACAGAGGACTACAAATGACTAGAGGAGAAAAGGATGACATAGTTCATTTGAGGAAAAACACATGCATGATACATTTGACATGACATCTTTGTTTTTATTTCTCTTTATTAAAATAACTGTTAAAAGTTTTAACTAACAATAAACACAAAATAGAGATTCCACATGTTCTAAAGTTGAAATGCTAGGATATTAATAAAACAACCTGCACACATTAAAGCAAAGGTAGGCCAAATGTAGTGGCCCATGCATGTAATCCTAGCACTTTGGAAGGCAGACGAGGGAGGATCACTTCAGGCCAGGAGTTCAAGACCAGCCTGGGCAACACAGCGAAACCTCGTCTCTACAAAAAATAAAAAATTAGCAGACACGTGGCACATGCCTATAGTTCTAGCTACTCAGGAAGCTGAGGCAGGGGGATCCCTTGAACCCAGGAGTTCAAGAATACAGTGAGCCATGATTTTTGCCACTGCACTCTAGTCTTGAGTGACAGAGCAAGATCCTGCCTCTAAAAAAAAAAAAGTTAAAATTAAAAAAACCTAGAAAACACAAAATACATACTAAAACATCTCAATTCTTACACACAGAATATAATATATAGCGGTTCTACAACAGTATACCAGTAACATATGTCACTGAATCAAAAAGTACATCTTAAAGACGGGGACTAGCTTTCGTCGCACAGTAGAATACCTATGGAAAAACCTAACTGCAAGTCAATCAACAGGCCTAATTCAACCATTTTTATTTTGCTTTGTTGTTTTATAAAGGCTGCACAGGCAAATGATATACTGTGAGAGTTAAGAACTACTCCATTAAGGAACCAGTATAGCATTTATCATATATGCTGTAAGACTCCCTTCTGTCTACATCATTGTGATTTTAAAGTACATCTTCAAATTCTTCATTCCTCCTTCCAAAAAAGTAAAGCCTAATTTCCCATCCCTTAAGACTGGAATCCAGCAACTTGCTTCTAACAAATATGGCAGAACTGATAGTGTATCTGACCTCTGAGACTAGGTCATAAAAGGAATGTGGCATCCTCCTTGTTCTTGCATGTGCATGGGTGCACACACACATACTCTCTCTCTAATCACTTGTTCTAGACAAAGCTGCTACCAAGTGCACTCAAGCAGCCTTATGAATACCATGTGATAATGAAATGTGAGCTCCATCCAATGATTAGCAAGCAACTGAGGTCTCTTGCCAATAGTCGCATGTGAGTGAGCTTGGAAGCACACTCTACAATCCCAGTGCAACCTAAAGAAGACTGCAGCTCTGACCAACAGCTTTGACTGCAATCTCATGAGAAACACTGAGTCAGAAACGCCCAGCTAACCTCCCCCTAAATTCCTGACCCATAGAAACTATGAGATCATAAATGTCTGCTGTGTCACTAAGTTTCAAGTAATTTGTTACTCAGTAATCATAAACCAACGTTTCTCATAAATCTATTTCCATTTATTTACAAAGACTTGAAGTGAGTTATAACCCAACAGCAAACAAGAAAAAAATCCATTTCAGTGCAAGAGAGATTTTCAAAGATTTTCACTTTTTCTTTCAAAAATTTATTTCAATATTCTTATAACCAACACTTTCCTTCAAATACAGACAAAATGATTTATGATGAAGTAAATTTATGTTTCATCATAATGAGCATGAAAATACTCAGATCTGTGATTTAAACATGAAGAAGTGGGACAACAACCTTATAATGTATCTAGAGATACACTTACATCTCACAATCTGGTGATACTACATGAAAGACCATGAAACAATACTTACTCATGTCAGATAACCTGAATAAGCACAATCAACTAGACAACAACCAAACTAGACATCAAGCTAAACATACTTCAGTTTACTGGAAATCATTATGATACATAATACTATTACTGTGTTTTTTGTGTTTTATTGCAACTGCCGTGAATAAATTCACAGTCTTCATTGAATCCAAATGCTATAATTCGATTTAATATTCGTTTGATTGTTGTGGTGAATTTTTAATAATGTCTTTTCTAATGACTTACCAGTCATTTTTCATTTCTCTGAACATCAAATCTATTTCATTCTCATATTATTTTTTAAATAGGACACTTCAAGAATGAATTAAAATGTTAGCAGCTAAAAAACTAGAGAAAGACTTGTGATTTTTGTAATTATTGTGGTCTATAAACTACAGTTCTTTTAAAACAGCAAGACAGAATTCCTGAACAATCTTTAATCTTTGTTCAACACCTTCTATAGGAAGCAATTTGAATTTAATCAAAAACCAGTAACCACAACCACCACACAATAAACTACCATATAAAGAAATTCTAAATGCCTGAAAGTCTAAAAGGCAGACTACTTTTTAAAATTGGTAACAGTTCAAATTATATAGGAGAAGCAAGGCTTATAGTTTCACATTTAATAGAAAACAACTGAATTTGCATTTAGGAGTCAGTTTTTCTTAAGTCCCAGAATTTTTAGTTCACTATTTTTAAAAACAAAAGTATATACTTACAAATTACAATTAAGTAAACAATTTGAACCACAGAAGTTTATACCAAAATGTTATGTACCAGGAACAGAAAGGCAAAATGTATGTTCTTTTCTATTTGTCTTAATTAAAAGTGTCAATGCTATATTATATGAACATCCAGCAATGGTAACCTGATATGCAAAATCAATTAAATACAAAAATTTTACCTAATTGAAAGAAAATTCTATTCAGGTAGTAAAGGTTTTAAAAAATTGTCTCCATGGCAAGCAAGACTGTTCATAAGTACTTTACTATACCAATTGCCACTGCTGATGATAGGCTTGTGATTTGAATGATACATATCTTGTCAGATCTAGACTTTACCCTCTGCTATGCTGAAAATGTGAAAGAAAAGTGAGACTGAAATCTCCTTACAGATCAGGAAGAAAAAAAAAATC